ACTGGGTGTCTGTTCTAATATTTCGAATCTTCAAATATTCATTTCCATTAGGACACTCCATTCCAAGGTTCAGCTAAGGGTAAGATTTGATCATCAATAAGGCGATTACTCTAACCCTTTGTTGCCAGATGGAAAGACCTTGAACAACAGTTTCATATTGTCACTTGCCTCTTAAAATAAGAGTAACATTTACTCTTTTCTTTTTTCTCTGTGAACTTGCTTGGATTTTCAGGACTCTTTCCTTGATAAATTATTATTTATTTTTGAATACACTGGTTCTTTGCTGCACAGGGGCTTTCTCTAGGGACAGTGAGTGGGGCTGCTCTTTGTTGCGGAGCGTGGTTCTCACTGTGGTGGGCGCTCTTGGAGCAGCGCCCTATCTCCAGGCACAGTGGCTCAGGAGCTGTGGTGTGCTGGCTGAGTTGCCCCGTGGCACCTTTCCAGACCAGAGATCTACCCTGTGCCACCTGCAGTGGCAGTGAATTCTTGGCCACTGGATCACCAGGGAAGCCCAGGGCTTCTTACTGTGTCATTGTACTCCTCCTCCCTCTGCCCCAGCCATCCCCTCCTCATCCCTCTGCCCCAGCCATCCCCTTGTCCCTTCTGTTTGGGTGTCCCCTGCCCTTCATTCCTCTTTCTTCCTCCGTCCCTTCTTCTCTGGTCCCTGCTGTCCAGTCACAGCATCACGTTCTCGCCATTGTCCGTGGTTCTACTTTTTCTCTCTGTCGTGGTGGTCAGTGCTTCTCTTGCCCATCAAAATTCTAGGAGGTGGTCATGGTAAAAATGAAAACCAGTATCTGCCATCAGGGCACCCTTTCCCCCATCCCCTTTAAAGCTTCATCTCCCGTGAACTGTTACATTGTCCCACCAAAATTGTCTAACCCTTATTGTAATAGGCAAATTTAGTATAATAAGATGCACTGTGACACCATGATTGTTTTCCATTCCCCACAGAACAGCAGTGCTAAGCACCTGATAGATATTCAAATAAGCACTCATTTTAATAGATTAGTTCTTGGTCATGGAATACATGTCCACATTTCTCAGAAAGTTGTGTGAGTTAGATCCTTTTCTATGTGACCATAAACAGAATTTTCTTTTCTAAAATGACTTTTTTTTTTAATTTAAATTTTTTGGGAGTATTGTTGATTTACAATGTTATGTTAGTTTCTAGTGTAGCAAAGTGATCCGGTTATATGTATACACATAATCATTATTAGATTCTTTTTCTCACACAGCTTATCCCAGAACATTGAGCAGATTTCCTGTGCTGCACAGAGGTCCTTGTTGGTTATCCATCTTATGTATTGTTTGTTGTTTAGTTGCTAAGTCATGTCTGACTCTGCAATGCTATGGACTGTAGCCTGCCAAGATCCTCTGTCCATGGGATTTCCCAGGCAAGGATACTGGAGTGGGTGGCCATGTCCTCCTCCAGGGGATCTTCCTGACCCAGGGATTGGGCCCTGGCTTCTGCATTGCAGGCAGAGTCTTTACCACTGCGCCACCAGGGAAGCCCACCTTATGTATAGTAGTGTGTGTCTGTTCATCTGTGGTTCCTGGCTTATTTCTCCCCCAAAAGTCTCCCCTTTGGTGACCATAGGTTTGTTTTCCATATCTGAGTCAACTTCTATTTTGCACACAAGTTCTAAAATGATACGTGTTATTATGTTGGTTATTAAGTCCTAAAAGTGCTTCAGCTAATTCTGATGGCATTCAGGGATAATTTTTTAGAAGTTAACAATGAGTCATGAAAATGATCTGGGGACTAGAGAGGAAAATAACTGTACACAATGTTCTTTCCTCAACCTTAAAAAAATGAATGCATGTGACTGCCCATTTGACCAAACTTATATGAAGATCACTACTTTGGATTTTTCATTTACTTATGACTTTCTCTACCTAGTTTTCTCATAATGGTAATTCCACAGCTCCCTTGAGACCCTGTCTTTTAACCTTCATTTGCCCTTGAGTGCTTGGCTCCAGGGGTTTCCTGTTACATGCAGTGGCTTGTTCACATAACTCTGCTACCTAGAGCTTTTTATACTAATTTGTGTTTGTTCTTGTTACCAGGAAGATCATTTAAGGCAAAGATGTGGCTTTATGCTTTTCTTTGTCTAAAAGCCCTGTGGTATACTGTGGTCCGTCCAAAGGTGCCTCTGGTTATATAACTGCATTTGTTGAATAAAACCTGCCCCTGACAGTGAATGAGTATTTTCACCACGTACAAAAGGCCATTTGTCAAAACTGACCTTTTATGTGAAACAGCTACAATTATTAGTTGATTCAAGTGTCAGAGCACCATCGTCAGATAAGGGTGTCAGCTAGGAAATTTTTTCTCATTTGATAATAGGTTTCAGAAAGAGTTATAGATGGATGTGATGTTTCTGTCTAAGGTTGAAAACTTGGCCCCAAATGTGGCCAGAGCAATTTAGATTCCCACCTTTGAACTGAGTTATATATAACAGTTTTAGTTTCTTGTAGATTGCCCATAAAATCGTCTCTGACCAGCATTTTGCTTTCAATTACCTTGTCTTCATGCTAACAAAAGTGAGGGACAACACATCTTTTATTAAAAAGCCATATTTCTCTATATGATACATTATTTTATATTATGAGCATCTATACTACCTTGATAGTAGATGATGGAGACCTTTTAAAAAGTTAGACTATTTAGCACCATGGTCCCCAAACTTTTTGGACCCAGGGACTGGATTCATGGAAGACAATTTTTCCACAGGGCGCAGGGGATGGTTTTGGGATGGCTGATACACATTACATTTGTTGTGCACTTTATTCCTATTATAATTATATCAGCTTCACCTCAGATCATCAAGCATTAGATCCCAGAGGATAGGGACCCTTTCTTTAGCATAAATGCTTAATTAATGACAATGCACAGTTGATTGCGAGTGTCCCGGGTGGTTCAATGGTAAAGAATCTTCCTGCCAAGCAGGACACTTGGGTTCGATCCTGAATTGGGAAGATCCCCTGGAGAAGGAAATGGAAACCCACTCCAGCATTCTTGCCTGGGAAATCTCTTGGGCAGGAGAGCTTGGTGGGCTACAGTCGCAGAGAGTCAGACATGACTGAGTGACTAAACAAGAACAGCGACAACACTGTAAAATCAGCTCCCAGCATTTTGTAAGCCAAAGACAGAAGATAAAAAAATCAGGAAACATGAGAAGTACAAGCCAGTTAGAAAAGCTGCATCAAGAAGACTTTCAACATGATTAACAGGGAAGTTCCTCCATGCAACAGAGTGCAGATGCTCTTCTCCACGCTGGCACAATACTGCTTTAACTTGAAGGTCTGCAAAAATGTTAGGCCTTGCCGATTTCAGAGAGATAACTGAAACAGCATCATGCAAAATAGAAGTGTTAAAAAACTCACAAGAGATGTTTTTGATTGAAAAGAGAAAGTATAAAAATAACACACTCCAGTGCAACAGACAGGACAATGGGAAAATGATCAGGCTGAAGAGAAGAGAGTTATTTAAAGGCAAAGAAAGGGATTTAGCATTAAAATCATGGAGTGTGAGAGGCCTCAAGCCTACTTCCATGATAAAAAAACATCCTGGCAAGAAACTAATGTGCCTTGTAATGGCTTGAGCAAAGTCAAGTCAGCCATATGGAGAACTAAAAATAAGCTTCTTTTAAAATCCACCTGTGGTGGGGAGATGTCACCTTGAAGGTACAGAGAGCAGAAACATCAATTTTTTTAGAGATCCATGTTAATCATTGCTTACATACATAAGAGCACCAAGTTTAATTAAATAAAATAAAATTGGCATAAAAAAAAACTCATTGCCAAACTCTTGATTCAATCTGTTTCCTTCAAGGCTTCGATTATCCTTAAAAGTGGGGTTCCCTGGTGGCTCAGATAGTAAAGAAAGCCTAATCCCTGGGTTGGGAAGATCCCCTGGAGAGGGAAATGGAAAGCCACTTCAGTATTGTTGCCTGGAGAATCGCATGGACAGAAGAGCCTGGCAGGTGACAGTTCATGGGGTCGCGAAGAATCAGACATGACTGAGTGACTAACACTTTCACTTCCATCCTTCACAGCATCTCCTGGTCCTACATCATGTGTGTGTAGATGTGTGTGTTGGCTTTAACGGTGAAGTGGAACTATGAAATTTACTCTGCAGACTGAAATTGCAAAGTCATCTTATTAATCATTGGGAAAAATCATGTTTTTTTCATGACTTTTACATATGTTGGTCTGAATGTTAAACATTCCTTTTGGTCACTTACAATGCATGGGGAAATGAAATAGAATCATTAACTGCAGTTTGACACATTGGAAACACTGAGAATTGTTTTTGTTTTGTCTTTTATCCAATAACCAATCATGGAATGAAAACGTAAAGTATCTTCAGACTGTTATCAAGAAGAAATCCTATTACTGTACAACAACCTCTGAAGCATCTCTCGTTACCTCTTGAAACAATTACATGGATTTTTTAGGTTACATGATGAGAAAGAGAACATTTCAGCTTATACAACAGCAAAAACATGTTCACACCAAATAGTATAACAGAGCATACAAAACTGTCACACGCACGCACACACACACACACACGCAGAAGCTCTCCTCAGCTCCCATGTGCTTGAATTTCATTACCCTGGTTCAACCAGATAACACAGTACTGACAACCACTTCGATTTCCGTCTTCACAGTATATTAACTATGAGTAAATGTGTTAAGTACTCACTTTGCTCCTAGCTCTTCAATATGTAGATCTCTAGGTAGATAACATGTGCTTTGCGATCAGAGCCCACTCAAATCTCTCAGAGCTCCTTGGTGATTCACTGTGCATTTGATATTCAATTTATGCACAGACAGTAAAGCATGTAGCTGTGTTACTTCCTTGTATCCTAGTGATAAACCCAAGTATCACTTTTCACAAAACTTTTTAATTCAAAGAGGGATTGGGTAATACAGCTAAAGCCCAGGAAATAAAACCAAAAACACCATCAGAATCAAATCTGAATCACACATACGTGGAGTCACAGGAGAAGTCAACCGTGGGCTGGTCATCGCTCCTGCTGGTCCAAGACTCTGAATATGCAGCCAGAGAAGTCAGTGAAGATAAATTTGTCAACATCAGTGATGAAAGTGGTGGTAATGAACAGGATGAAAATGTCTCAAGGATTGGAACTGCACAAAAATTTCATATTAAAAGGAACTGGGCAATGTCCCACAATACCAATGGCATCAGGATAAAATACCAGCTAACCCCAATTCCTAATATGACAGTTAGTGTAGGACAGAGACACAGAAAAGCTGCTCACCCCACATCAGAAGCTATACCCTGGGGGGGAAATGCAGGTACTATGGAAAACTAGCCTTGTACCTAGTTTATGAAGAACTGGCCTCCTCACGCTACTGTAAATGTAGCAAGCAAACATCCTCTCCTAGTCATAATCCTGACCAAGGCAAGCGGTCACAGGATACACAGAGCATAGGACCCAGAGAAAGAGCCACGCAACGGAACCAGCACCAGATCGGAGAGATGCCTGATCCACACTCACCCACGATGTCACCATGCTCTGTTATGTAGAGACGAAGTCACTCACTGCCAGAATGACTTCGCCAGAAGAAGGGTATGGGCAGTTGGGGAATTTCAGCACAATGAATCATTTAAGGCTTGAGGTTAAGAAAGCCTCGGATTTTTTACTTTACTGTGATACAGTTGGTGTCTAACATTGTATAAGTTTAAGGTGTACGAGGTGTTGGCTTGGTGACTTTATATATTGCTGTATAGTATGACTGTAGCATTAGTTAATACCTCTATCATGTCACGTAATGATCATTTCTTCTTTATGGCAAAAACAGTCTTTTAGCAGCTTTGAAGTTGGTAATGCATTGTTGCTAACTCTAATCACGATTTTGAACATAAGATCTCCAGAAGTTTTTATCTGCTGCTTCTCATTTATCTACTGGTTGCAAGTTCTATCCTTAACCATAATTTCCCCCAGCCCTTGGTTGGCAACCACCATTCTGCCGTTCTATCAGTTCTGCTTGAAAAGCCTCAAATTAAGCTATCACTTTCTATATCAATGACTGTAAGCCTACAGCCTGAATAACTACTGACAGGATTTAGAATTTTTTTCCACTCTTTAGTTATTAACATGTTTCTTATATTTTTAGATATAAAACAAAGACATATTCTTAGATACTCCAAAAGGAAGAGACTTGAGATGTCTTACTCTTTCTACAAGTTTCTTTACCAGCATGGGCCTCTTAATATTGCAGAATTTCTGAGCTGGAGATCATGGGCTCCTCTAGTACAAATCTTTTCTTTTGCAGATGAGAAAATAAGGAATCAAAGAAAAGGAAACAAATAAAAGGGGATCATATTTTCTCCAATAACCCTGGCAGATAAAGTATTTCTGTGAAGTTTTCAGTCTGAAAAGTACACTTTCATATCTATTATTTGACTTAATCCTCAAAACAGTCCTCTGAAGTTGGTGAGCAAGAATTACAGTCACTGTGCCAATGTGAAACAGATTGAAAGAAATCGAATGTCTTCCCTGAGGTGACCCAGCTCCTGACAGGCGCCCTCATCTCCTTACCCCAGGACAGAGGCCTTATCTGTTATTTACCTGTGGCCTCCTGTGTGGGAGCTGACACTCACGTGTATAGAACCTCTGGCTGGCTTTAAGCAATTTGCCTTCAGAAGTCCTTGGCAATCTTGATCTCTTTTTCCAAAGGTTTGCAGGTGGTGTTACTCCGCACTGCAAGATGCAACTTGCTAGAACTGCAAATTCATGGTCGAGCAGGAAGCTCTCAATAGCCGCATACAGAATAAAAATGATGAGATGTCTTTCTCCGGGAATGCAGCCTGTATTGCTGTTGAGTCATATGTGTTCTGTTAATACTTGGCATGTGGATCAGTCCAGGTGGACTCAGAGCTTCATTCTCCTGAGTCCCTGTCTTTCTACCACCATCTAACTGGCATGATAATACCTTCATTAGATGGTTGCCTTCTCCAAAGGGCTCCTAGACTTTTCAGTCAAGTTTTTCTGTCACATACCAATATTGCACAACTCCTTTTCTGCCAAAATATTTGTTGCCCAGGCAAAGTTTAAGAATATACAAACACAAATTGCATAGATGTGTAAAGGAGTTCAACTGTCAGGCACATTTGAAATAGAATGTCCATTCTTATTTAAGGAATTTGAGTTCTCTATATCTGTGTTTTGTATAGAAAGGAGCCATCCTGAAATAAGATGCTTACTGAATAAATGATGGTGACATTTTCAAAACAGTCATAACTCAATATATAGAAATACGCCTGTGACTTCTCCAGTGTATCTTTCATCTCAACTTCCCTATATAGAAGGTTTAAAGATAGATAAAATTTTCATACAGAAAACTGCATGTTCACAGAAAACTTGATATGATAGATGAATCATAACAATAACTTTGAATCTTTTGTGCTGGAATACAGTAGATAAAATGAGTGGTAAATTTAATACACTTGCAGGTATATTTGTGGGATTAAACTATTTACATTGAGAAAACTTCTGATGTGATGTCTTGCTTAGGTTTTTTTCAATAGCATACAATTAAGAATCAATTTCTCCTTTGTCCTTCATGATTGTAAAAGGTCAATTTTTTTTCTGTAAATAGTAATTAACTTTGAGTAATTCTATTAGAATTTGTGTTTCAATTTTACAGAACATAATCAAATTATAAGATAAAAGAGTCATCATTTAAAAATTCAAATTTATTTGAGACTTAAGCTTTGACAAATCATAATTTATGAAATTGTCCAGTGGGATAATATACACTTAACAGCCTGAGACTATACTTGGAGTTATCTGCATGTAACAAGCAATTTGTTCAAGGTGAAGATTCTTAAACACATGTGAGGTTTGCATATTTCCTAGAGGCTCGCATTAAATCCATCCAGCAGTCAAATGACCTTGCCACCAGCTTCCTCCCAGAAAACTGACATTTCCATTTGTAAGGTTAAATAAAATACATAATGGAGAAATCCAAAAAGAAAGGAGGAATGATTATGCATCAAAGGAACATATCCTAAGTTTTCCCATCTTCCCTGACAACTCAAACCTTTGTATAATGATCCTGTCAAGAATAATATCTATTCCTGTGAGTTGTCTATGTATTGGGCTTGGCAACTCAACTTCAGTGGAACAAACTGAAATAATTGTTATATGTATGTGAAAGGCTTTCAGAAATGAGATTATTCTGGGTTATGATCTCAAGATGTATGCTTGACTGTCCCTGCAACCATGATCTCTTTATCACACAAAGACATCAGAAGCATGCTGTGGTAATAGTGATGTAACACGTTGGAAGGTATTTTAGATGATATACCAACAATAGCAATTCAAATGAATAAATTATTATTTTTAGAATGCCAGGTAATTTCTGTTTTAGAGAATTGCATTTATGATTTGAGAAAAACAAATTGTAAAGTTCAACATAGATAATAAATTAAGGAAGTTAAGAGCACAAAGTTATCACTGATTATGCTGTCTAGGATAAATGTATGATTTATTTTTTTTAATTTGAATTGCTATCATTGGTATATTATCTAAAATAGTTTCCCAACTTGCTGTGGTAATAGTGACATATCAGTTTGTTCCTAGCTTAATCCTCACAAACACCTCTATGTTCCATAGCTCTGTGCCTGGGCTATGTCTTTGAATTTCTATAGAAATGTTATTGACTCTGTTAAAAGCATTTGTTGTTGTTTGTTCAGTTGCGCAGTCATGTCTGACTGTTTGTGACCCCGTGGACAGCAGCACACCCGGCTTCTTCGTCCTTCGCTACCACCCGGAGCTTGCTCAAACTCATGTCCGTTGAGTCGGTGATGCCATCCCACCATCTCATCCTCTGTCATCCTCTTCTCCTCCTGCCCTCAATCTTTCCCAGCATTAGGGTCTTTTCTAATGAGTCTGCTCTTTGCATCAGGTGGCCAAAGTGTTGGAGCTTCAGCATTTTAAATAGGTCTTCACCCTCTTTGACCTCACTAATTTGTATACAGTACTTACAGTTTCTTTTGGAATCATTGCATTCATCTGTTTTGAACAATGTAAACAGTTTGAGTCTTATTTTTTTTTCCTTAGGGGATAACACATTGTATTTTAACTTTCATTCTATTTATTTTTGTCTTCTGTTTTCAAGTGCTTGCAGAAGTTTCTGGGTTTCTAGGTCTTGGGTGTTGATGTGAGGTTAGGCTCTGCATTTACTACCCTCTGGTTTGTTTTCCCACAGTTCATCCTCTGCTCCCTGATCCACTATAGGGGAGCGTTGACTTGGTTTCACAGAAGTCCTGGGCGTCGGGTAAAGGGTTGTCCCGCGTTAGAACTCGTCATGGTGTAAGCTGTCTTACTGCTTCCAATGGGAAGCATTCTAACTGAACTAATGTGTCTCTTGCCTGGTAGTGAGGAGAACCTGATTGCAGTAGGAGGCGTAGGATAAAGGATAAATTCTGGGGCCATTTTGTAAGTGAGCAGCCTTAAAGTAATTATCTTTTGAGATGAGCATAGTTTACACAAAAGAGAAGATTCCCAGGTTGAATAGTTTTTGTCTAAATTGCAGTCAATATTGACAGAATGATTCCTATGGAATCTCAGAAGATTTAATAAAATTAAGTCTACTCACAGCAAATTGCTACCCATTTTATAAATGGCAAACGTGTTCTACTTTTATCTGGGAGTTGCATTTCTGAGGCAGCAGGTTATATAACCTTAAAAGTGGGGAGAATGTTTCTTCCCGCTTGACAGTATCGCAGTGTTCCACGATACAGCAGAAAAACCAGGATGACAAATAGTTCTGTCTTCAATGGTGTTTATAACTTTCAGTTATATTACTACCTTTATCTTATCTCTCATCAGATATCTGGTTATCTGGCTTCTTAGACTTTTCCTCATAAATCAGACCCTTTTCAAGTGATTTTTAACCTTCACAGATAGGTTTCCTTAATTGTTTCTCTTCATTTCAGAAGAAACTAATTTCCTAATGGCATATATATCTAAATACACAGAAAGACCTACAGTCTA